AAGTATTTGTACTTCACTCCTTCCCACCTCCAACAACACACCTGTGATTGTTTCATAGCTGGATCTGTGAAGGTATTAACGGGTCAGAACTCTGCCCGGTTCCTCTGAGTTCCACAGCTGGGACCAACAGAACATCTGTTCAGAGTCATGGTTCAAATAAGACTTTCTAAAAACTGATTCAAGTTGTATACTTACTAAAAGAACATCCCATAATAATAACTCGTAATAACGTGAGGTCATTCTGACAGATACTGGCGGTTTCACATGTTTTATAAACAGGGTCTGGTTCTGGTTAACAGGTTCTGGTGGCTCTGAATTGGGTCTGGTTCTGGTTAACAGGTTCTGGTTGCTCTGAATTGGGTCTGGTTCTGGTTAACAGGTTCTGCTGGCTCTGAATTGGGTCTGGTTCTGGTTAACAGGTTCTGGTTGCTCTGAATTGGGTCTGGTTCTGGTTAACAGGTTCTGGTTGCTCTGAATTGGGTCTGGTTCTGGTTAACAGGTTATGGTGGCTATGAATTGGGTCTGGTTCTGGTTAACAGGTTCTGGTGGCTCTGAATTGGGTCTGGTTAACAGGTTCTGGTTGCTCTGAATTGGGTCTGGTTCTGGTTAACAGGTTCTAGTTGCTCTGAATTTGGCCTAGTTCTGGTTAACAGGTTCTGGTGGCTCTGAATTGGGTCTGGTTCTGGTTAACAGGTTCTAGTTGCTCTTAATTGGGTCTGGTTCTGGTTAAAAGGTTCTAGTTGCTCTGAATTGGGTCTGGTTAACAGGTTGTAGTTGCTCTGAATTGGGTCTGGTTCTGGTTAACAGGTTGAAGTTGCTCTGAATTGGGTCTGGTTCTGGTTAACAGGTTCTGGTGGCTCTGAATTGGGTCTGGTTCTGGTTAACAGGTTCTAGTTGCTCTGAATTGGGTCTGGTTCTGGTTAACAGGTTCTGCTGGCTCTGAATTGGGTCTGGTTCTGGTTAACAGGTTCTGGTTGCTCTGAATTGGGTCTGGTTCTGGTTAAGAGGTTCTGGTTGCTCTGAATTGGGTCTGGTTAACAGGTTCTGGTTGCTCTGAATTGGGTCTGGTTCTGGTTAACAGGTTCTGGTGGCTCTGAATTGGGTCTGGTTAACAGGTTCTGGTTCCTCTGAATTGGGTCTGGTTAACAGGTTCTAGTTGCTCTGAATTGGGTCTGGTTCTGGTTAACAGATTCCGGTTGCTCTGAATTGGGTCTGGTTCTGGTTAACAGGTTCTGGTGGCTCTGAATTTGGCCTGGTTAACAGGTTCTGGTTGCTCTGAATTGGGTCTGGTTCTGGTTAACAGATTCCGGTTGCTCTGAATTGGGTCTCGTTCTGGTTAAAAGGTTCTGGTGGCTCTGAATTGGGTCTGGTTAACAGGTTCTGGTTGCTCTGAATTGGGTCTGGTTCTGGTTAACAGGTTCTAGTTGCTCTGAATTGGGTCTGGTTCTGGTTAACAGGTTCTGGTTGCTCTGAATTGAGTCTGGTTCTTGTTAACAGGTTCTGGTGGCTCTGAATTTGGCCTGGTTCTGGTTAACAGGTTCTGGTGGCTCTGAATTGGGTCTGGTTCTGGTTAACAGGTTCTAGTTGCTCTTAATTGGGTCTGGTTCTGGTTAACAGGTTCTGGTGGCTCTGAATTGGGTCTGGTTAACAGGTTCTGGTGGCTTTTGGCCTGGTTCTGGTTAACAGGTTCTGGTGGCTCTGAATTGGGTCTGGTTAACAGGTTCTAGTTGCTCTGAATTGGGTCTGGTTCTGGTTAACAGGTTCTAGTTGCTCTGAATTGGGTCTGGTTCTGGTTAACAGGTTCTGCTGGCTCTGAATTGGGTCTGGTTCTGGTTAACAGGTTCTAGTTGCTCTGAATTGGGTCTGGTTCTGGTTAACAGGTTCTGCTGGCTCTGAATTGGGACTGGTTCTGGTTAACAGGTTCTGGTTGCTCTGAATTGGGTCTGGTTCTGGTTAAGAGGTTCTGGTTGCTCTGAATTGGGTCTGGTTAACAGGTTCTGGTTGCTCTGAATTGGGTCTGGTTCTGGTTAACAGGTTCTAGTTGCTCTGAATTGGGTCTGGTTCTGGTTAACAGGTTCTGGTTGCTCTGAATTGGGTCTGGTTCTGGTTAACAGGTTCTGGTGGCTCTGAATTGGGTCTGGTTCTTGTTAACAGGTTCTAGTTGCTCTGAATTGGGTCTGGTTCTGGTTAACAGGTTCTGGTGGCTCTGAATTGGGT